TTTGGATAAAATTGCATGGCCCAGTGGTTTATTGAGAAGAAGTTGAAAATGTGAAAAGTTTACAGACAACAGACAAAGGGCGGACAACAGGTGATCAGAAAATTCACTTGAGCTTTCCGCTTACAGGAGAGCTAAAAACTTAGTGAAGAATATCAAAAGTTTCAAATTTTGAATAGATATTATTGAGGATTTTCTATGAAAATATTAACAAATCAATTTTGAATTTGCCCACATCCTTCAGAAAAAAAATTTAAGTTAGCTTCTTGTTACATAATTCTCCAAATCTAAACTGTTTACCTGCTATTTTTAGAATAATATTTAAAACTGACAAAAACAGATATAAAATTATGGTTGATGTCTTAAAATTATTACAAAACAGTGTTTTGAAAGTGTCGGAAAAATTCATTTTTGAAATATCAAAATTTTCAAAAATTTTTCATAAAATTGCAAAAAAAGTACCATGGTAAAAAATAAGCAGATGGTATAGTCTTCAAATCAGTTAAACAGATCCCAAGTCAGTATGTTTGAAAAATACAAAACTTTTGGTCCATTAGAATTTTGTGTCTGTGTGTATGAAATGCCTCATAGATTTGACAGACAGAGTGCATAGAACAGTGTTGTCAAACCAGGTTGAACAGTATTATATCTATTATGAGCCACAACAGAAAACTACAGAGTACTTAGTTTACTTAATAACCAGAAGTCTCTGTTGAGACTGTAGCTCTACTGGTTTGTACTGATCAAAAACCGATGCACAGAATTATGTATCTTAGTGTAGTCTACTTGTGTGATAAGTTATATTGAAATCAGACCAAAACTGTAGAAGGAGTAGAATTTTAAAGGAATTCCACAGAAAATTCTACTTTTAGACACCATGGCAACACCGTTCATCGAAATAAAAAACCGATGCACTATTATTTGTAAATTAGTGTAGTTTACTTGTGTGCCAAGTGATAATGAAATCAGACCAAAACTGAAGAAGAAGTAGCGTTTTAAAGGAATTTCTCAGAAAATTCTATTTTTAGTAACCATTGCAACACTGCTCACTGAAATCAAAAACCGATGTACTATTTCATGTATCTTAGTGTAGTCTACTTGTGTGCCAAGTGATATTGAAATCAGACTAAAACTGTAGAAGGAGTAGCGTTTTAAAAGAATTTCACAGAAAATTCTATTTTTAGTAACCATGGCAATATCGTTCATCGAAATCAAAAACCGATGCTCTATTTTATGTATCTTAGTGTAGTCTACTTGTGTGCCAAGTGATACTGAAATGAGACTAAAACTGTAGAAGGAATAGCGTTTTAAAGGAATTTCTCAGAAAATTCTATTTTTAGTAACCATGGCAACATCGTTCATCGAAATCAAAAACCGATGCACTATTTTATGTATCTTAGTGTAGTCTACTAGTGTGCCATGTGATATTGAAATCAGACCAAAACCTTAGAAGGAGTAGCGTTTTAAAGGAATTTCTCAGAAAATTCTATTTTTAGTAACCATCGCAACATCGTTCATCGAAATCAAAAACCGATGCACTATTTCATGCATCTTAGTGTAGTCTACTTGTGTGCCAAGTAATATTGAAATCAGACCAAAACTGTAGAAGGAGTAGCGTTTTAAAGGAATTCCACAGAAAATTCTATTTTTAGTAACCATGGCATCACCGTTCATCGAAATAAAAAACCGATGCACTATTTTATGTATCTTAGTGTAGTATACTTGTGTGCCAAGTTATACTGAAATCAGACCAAAACTGTAGAAGGAGTAGCGTTTTAAAGGAATTTCTCAGAAAATTCTATTTTTAGTAACCATGGCAACATCGTTCATCGAAATCAAAAACCGATACACAGAATTATGTATCTTAGTGTAGTCTACTTGTGTGCCAAGTTATATTGAAATCAGAACAAAACTGTAGAAGGAGTAGCGTTTTAAAGGAATTTCTCAGAAAATTCTATTTATAGTAACCATGACAACAGCATTCATCGAAATCAATAACCGAAACACAGAATTATGTATCTAAGTGTAGTCTACTTGTGTGCCAAGTTAAATTGAAATCAGTCTAAAATTGTAGGAGGAGTAGCATTTTGAAAAATTGTTTACAGACAGACGGACAGACAGACAGACGGACGGACGCCGGACGCATTACTATCGCATAAGCTCTTCTGGTCTCTGACCAGTAGAGCTAAAAATAGAGCAGAGGATTATCAAGAAATGGAAGCATTTTCACTATATAATCAAAAGAGCCCCATCCTAACAGCAGAACCTCTAACCCTTGGGACCATGAAATTCACAATTTTGGAAAAGGCACCCAAGCTCATTATGATCATACACTTAGTTCACAAGCTCAATTAAGATCTAGGAGCACATGAGATAGGAGCCATGAAATTCATAATTTTTGAAGACACACCCTTGCTCATCAGAACTGAGCATTTATTTTCTGGCTTAACACTGAGTACCCAGGATCATCAGAACATTTGACAGAATATTGCAGTAATGCATTTTCACTGTATACGGGTCCCATTCTACCAAAAAACTTACCCTGTGTCCAGGAACTTCTCAATTTTTTTTTTGGTATAGTGTTCACTGTTTATAACAATCATGCCAAAAGTTTGACTGCCTGATTGTCTGATAGTAATAAAATTTTATAAAAATTTCGTTGACTTTGATGCTTTTAGCCCCACTCCTCAGGCACCCTGGGGGAAATGGGCAAGGACCATGATTTTCATAATTTTTGTTTCCCTTCACTGACTAATGCTCTATGTCGAAAAATTGAGAAGAAGCTGAAAATGATCAAATGTTAACAGACAATGATGGATGAAAAGAGATACATGTAGCAGTAAGTTACCTGAGTGACTCAGGTGAACTAAAAACAATAAACAAAATTGTGCACCCTTATGTAGTATACTTATACAAGTTTTATTGAAATTAGTCCACAACTATAAAGAGATGCATACTAAAAGAATTTAATACAAAATGTGTTTGTGAAACACTATGCGCCTGGCGGCAACAAAGTTCAAAAAAACTATTTTTAGCATATAGGTCACAGTCAAGGTCACAAGGTCATTGATCTTAATGTCGTTTGAAAGAACTTTATTAGTGGAGTATGCATACCAAATACGAAGTCTCCATCTCCTATGGTTGAAAAGTTACGGGGAAAGTTTTAAAAAGCTATTTTTAGCATATAGTTTACAGTCAAGGTCACAAGGTCAATGACCTTGGTGTCATTTGAAAGAACTTTATCAGTGGAGTATGCATACGAAAAATGTAGTCTGTATCCTATGGTTCAAAAGTTATGGCGAAGTCTAACGTTTGCAGAAAAAACTATTTTTAGCATAAAGGTCACAGTCAAGGTCACAAGGTCATTGACCTTGGTGTCATTTGTATGAATTGAATTAGTGAAGCATGCATACCAAATATGAAGTCTCTATCTCTTATGGTTCGAAAGTTATGGAAAAAGTTCGAAAAAGCTATTTTTAGCTTGTAGGTCACAGTCAAGGTCACAAGGTCATTGACCTTGGTGTCTTTTGAAAGAACTTTTTTTGTGAAATACACATACCAAATATCAAGTCTCTACATCTCAAGGTTCAAAAGTTATGGTGAAGGTTAAAGTTGACAACAGACAGACACACAGATAAACAAACAGACAGGATAAAACCCAATATACGCCTCAAATCTATCGATCCGGGCACATAAAAAAATTTCTAGTTGTAGGTACATGTACTATATCATACAAATATTTCGGTAATACCATTTCTTGAATCCTCAGATATCTTGAAAATATTTCTCGGTTCCATAGAGTTTGAAAAAACTAGGTTTAAATGTATAATTATGGCCTTCTTTCTTGCTGTAAAAATTGCATCATGTGAAATAAAACACATTCTGTATAAACATGTATAAATCAGATCTTTTATCATAAAACTGCTCCTTTTATACCTGTTACTCTTTATGTTTATGATAAACATTATGAAACAATTTCTAGCTTATACTTTTACCATATTACCCGGTATATAAATGTATTTGAACAGCCATTTCATCATTTAAAAAAGTTGAGTATGGTGTGTGTAAAAACTGCTATATTCTCTACATTTGAAGTTCAACATTTTAAAAAATCTTACTTGCAGTTGTTACTGTTTTAAGTGTATAAAAAGACATATACAGATATCATCATCATTCTGTTGTTAATGTTTCTTGCCAATGTAACACTTATTGACTATGAGAGAACAGAACACGCCTTTCAATCACAAAATCTAACAATCTGTACAGTTTTCCTAGACCTTTTCTGAAATATGCCCTACAGATAATCAAGCATCAGCTTGGGTTGAAGTTCTGTGTACAATATTTAGCATTTAGGTCCATAAGTATGTACTGGAACTGTTTTATCCTTTCCGGGGGCAGGTCTGCATGCATGTCTTCCTCCACTGGTGGGGGAGAGGGTGGTGGAGGTGCTGTAAAATAATTCCAGATACATTACAAACAGGTCGGTAGGTTTTCTGATATAAATTACTGATTAAAGTGCAGTATAACAGAACTGATGCTTACAGCAAAGTGATTTTCATTCCCAGTGGCAATTGAAATATAGCAAATATGTTACAACTCACTGCTGTTTTTACAACTTTTAATAAGTATATTCATAGTTTTAAAAGCAGAAGATTCTTAGGTTAGATTGTATTTAAGCCATTGATCTACACCGTAACATATATTACTAAAATGTAATCATTTCAAAAATATACTGACTCCAGAACAATCATGCCATATTAATGTATAAAATTATGAACAGTTTATATGGAATTAATATTGAAATGAGAAAATATTACATGTACTTGTTTTAGTATTATGAATATATATTTTTTAAAGACCTTGCGTATAATTATTGTTTATAATCTGGTTGATTAATCTCCTGGAAAATACCCTTTAATTGACTAATGAACCTGGAATCTTATTTCCTAGGTATCTTGTAACACGAGCTCTGATTGGTTACAAAGTCGAGTGTAAATATCCAT